ACAGAGAAAAGTGCACATCACGCGGTGCCACTCAGTAGATGTTGCCCGTTTTTGACAATGGAGACCACTCAACGCAGGACATGCTAATCCATCATTCTTTGACGCGTCGTCACACCAGGTGTAACTCCAACTTGGGTACACCAAGCGCCAAGATGTGCCACCTACCGGGCACGGGGCCGCGTAGAGTCTCTCCGGCTCTGGCGATCCGCAGCACCGGTGAGTCGGGGTTCAGCTCCGCGTCCTGTAACCATGGAAACGAGTCAGACGCGGCAGCATCGGGCGGGAACAGGCGCGCGTCCTGTAACCATGGAGACGAGTCCGACGCGACAGCACTGGGATCAGGTAAGCGTTCCGTAACCATGGAGACGAGTCAGACGCAACAGCACCGGCAGCAATGATGACACGTTTCTCCGCCACCAAACACATATCTGACGCTTGTTTAAGAGCTCTTGGAGGTTTTCGCCGAGCTCATGGTGCCTTACAAAACAACAGGAACGACCCTGGGCAGATACCATTCGTTTACACTCCATATCGTCCCTGGTTTCGAGCACCGACAATATGCTACTAACATGACAATGGCGACAACTTGTAACAACCATTTTACAACGCTATCATTACTATTTGTTTTGGTGATGACCATCATGGCGGTGCGGCCTGTGTGGCAGGTCAACCCCACGTACGCAACAGGCTGCACCAAGACTCTGACCGTGCGCCAGTCATCCGGCCAATAGACACACATAACACACAACCATGGACGTAGGCGAAGCGACGAATACGAACGTCCCGCCGGTCTCATTATGGTAAACGACGCCTGTCCACATGCGTGTTAAAAGCAATTCATACAGCAGGCATAAGAGACCAACTTGCGACCTAGGGGTCCTGACAAACATCGCGGAGCTAGGCCGCCAGCCAGGGGCCTAATTTCCTCCACGCCACCCAGTTGCCATGCGCGGGCCACGGGAGCCAACAGGCCCATCAGCGGCCGCCAGCGGATGGCACCAGGCTCATCAGCGGCCGGCGGCGGGTGGCAGCAGGCCCATCAGCGGCCGGCAGCGGGTGGCGCCAGGCCCATCAGCGGCCGGCAGCGGGTGGCACCAGGCCCATCAGCGGCCGGCAGCGGGTGACGCCAGGCCCATCAGCAGCCGGCAGCGGGTGGCAGCAGGCCCATCAGCGGCCGGCAGCGGGTGGCACCAGGCTCATCAGCGGCCGGCGGCGGCCAGCGCCAGGTCCATCGGCAGCGGGCGTCGAGCGAGCATGATGGCGTTGCACCGTGCACGCGGGACCGTGCGCTCCGTCCTGCTCAGCAGTACAGCTAGCCAGGGCGTCGCGTGACCCGCCATCGAAGCCCGCTTCCAGCCATACGAACAAGTTGGAAGCACATTGTTTTATTTGTCATTGCTACTGGGGCTGTCATGCATGAAGCGTACAAATTGCACATCATGTCATGGCAAATCGTGCTCAAAAGATGCACGAGTGTGCTCGCGCTGTAATGGCTTCACAAATGTAGAATTAGACGATCTGGGGATAGGTTGGCTAACGGACATCGCCGTCTGTGAAATAAAGGGCTTCAGCTTCCCCTCCGCGAGGGGCACAGACTACGCATCTGCCCAGAGACAGGCGTAACTGCGCCCGCGCCGACCAAACAGACCAAAGACCACACAGATCACAGACCACACGTCACACAGACTATAGACCACAGATCACACAGACCGCCGATCGCACACATCACATATCGCACAGACCACGGATCACACAGACCACAGACCACAGATCTCACAGACGGCAGATCGCACGGATCACACGGACCATAGATCACCCAGACCACAGACCGCACAGACAACAGATCACGCAGACCACGCAGAGCCCCCAGCCAGTGCCGTGACCCGAGTCGGGGCGGCCTGGCCCGAGACGTCACCTGCAGGGCGAGGTTGGTGTGGATCCGCAGGCCGGAGCCGGTCAGCTCCGCGCCGTGCAGACTGTCCTCTTGTGTTGGCATGAACGCCACGATGCCCACGTCGTACTCCTGCGGCAGATGGCCGGCCGTGGTAGCCCGGTCGGCGGCCAGCCCGGCCTCGGAGCGGGCGTCTCGAGTTCGAATACCAGCATAGGTCACGCGCGATACAGATGACCGCGGCACGGCTGCCGCGCTGGACAACGAAAAGAAACGCGGTGCCGTGGGGAAGACGTGCAGCCACCCGGCGGGCCACTGACGCCAGCCGGAGCTCCGCCCCGCGACGCCATAGGTCGAGCAGTGCTGCACCATTCCCGCCTAGCAGTGTCCGTTCCGGTCAGTCGACTTCGCAGTGCTTGTTCAACAGTTGGGATGAGAGGCAGCTCGGTGGGACACAGCTGAGTCCAAATCGCGCCGCTCGTGACCCGGGCGTAGTGCCGGACAAAGCTCCCCTGCCTGGCAGTACTGGCGCCGGACTAGCGTACCTTGCAGTACTTGTCCATGATGGCGCGGTTCCAAGAGTCCATGGCCAGGTACTTGGCGTACGACTCGAAGACGATGACGCTGTACCTGCCGCGGTCGCCGGACGTGAAGAGCGGCAGGCTGGACGACGTCACCGTCTTGAACCTGCCGTCACGCTGAGGTCAGCACAAGTCCAGCGGCAGGACAAGCCGGCAATGGAGCGGCAGGACAAGCCGGCAATGGAGCGGCAGGACAAGCCGGCAATGGAGCGGGACTGCGGGATGCATCTACAGCAACGTGCGACGAGTTATGGACAGTGAGATCAGCAACACTTTTGTTTTGCTGCAATACAAGCACACGGTTTTCACTCTGTTTTCGGAGACACGTTTACGACGCGACTTATACTTGCTGAGGTAGTACAAAGACACGAAAACATGCGCGTTACAGACGCAAGAGTATATAATGGTTAACATGGATGTAAAGAGCATCATCTTTTCGAAGTTTTCAGTTACAATAATTAACACCACACTAGGCACAAATGTATTACCTTGCACAATGTTGAAGAATGAATATATATATATATATATATATATATATATATATATATACATTCCTACATGGCAACATTTCCCTTCCAAAACATCACCAATGACGACGGAGGCATAAACAAACTCTTGACCAAACATTTGAAAGCGCCTACGAAAGCATCTAGGCGCGCGCCAAGTGTCCTAAACTAGGCCACACCACACTCACGCCCACGCCCACGCCCACGCCCACGCCCACGCCCACGCCACGCCCACGCCACGCCTCCACCACCGCCCGTCACACACACACACACACACACACATACATATATACGCACGCACGCACGCACGCACGCACGCACGCACGCACGCACCTAACACCCCCTGCCCGCTCCACTCCTGCCGACACGGACGCCACCGCCGTGCGACCACAACGCGAGGGCGGCGCGACCAGCCGGCACCTAAGCTCTGCTCTTCCCTGCGACATTCTACGTCCGCTGCACTTCGGACGCCTGCCGGTGCCGCCGACGGCAGCGCCCCGCCGCTCCCGGCCCGCCCGGCCGGCCGCGCGGCGCCGCACCTGAAGCCGTTGGCAGTGAGCAGTGCGGTGAGGTCGCGGCCCACGGGGCTGTACTGCGTCTCCAGGTAGAGCAGCACCTTGGCCTCGAGTCGGAGGCGCGCCGCCGAGCGGTGCCGGCCGTCGGTGGCCGCCGCGTCCTCCGGCGGCCGGGCGCCGCACGACACGCGCACCGTCGGCGGCGGCCCGCGCTGCGCCTCGCTGCAGGCGGAGGAGGGCGCACGGCTGTCAGCAGGGTGCGGCACGAACCTGGCAGTGTCTGAGAAAACCGCCGCCAAACCAACAGGGACCGGCGTGTCCGTTGTGTGTTGAAATGACGGACGACTGGCTTTTGCCTCTGTACTTTCGGCCGGCAGTGGACGGGCGGAAAGCCATCACGTCGACCACCGCGAGCGACGACGAAACATCCGGCCGGGAGTGAGGTTCGAACCCGCGGCTATCCGCGCGTGGCCATGGGCGAAGGGGGGGGGGGGGGGGTAGGAGCCTGGCCACAGGGCCGAACGAGCGCTGGACATCAGAGTCCGGCTTTGCAAGCCACAGAGCCGTCAGGTGGGCGGCTGGAAGAGGGCCTTTGTCGCCGTCGTCGGCACCGAGAGGAATGCCGCAGCCCAGGCACGAGGGAGAGCGAGACAAACACAACACTGCATGGTGAGTCTGCCGATACAAGGCGCTGAGTGCTGAGGTCACTTCGGCAGGGGTGGTGTGCACACACGAAACTTCCGATCATGGCCGTTAGGAAAATGACATCATGGTCACTGTTGATGTACGTGTACGCCCCTTAAGTATAAGTGTACTCTCAGAGAACGTGAGTTGCGTTGTTGATCGCGGCGATCGATCAACCCGCTGCAATCAACGCGCTGACAACCCGCTGCAATCGCATCTGGCGTGAATGATTCCATAAAATCGCAGTGTGGAGCTGAAACTGTCTTCGTGCAAACGATAGTTTTAAAGACCGCAGCATTCTTGACGCGTTTATGGTGTAGCGTGCGACTATCGCCATAGTATTTTGAAGGCCGCAGAGCCAGAATAAACTGCAGCACATGTCACCCATATCAAGTGGTCTGCGTTCACGGAAAAGTGGGAGACCTAACCATCCTGTGTGAAACATTATTAACAGAGATACAGACCGAGGCACCTCTTTGCTTAGCGGATGGCAGCAGTACTAGCAGTAAGACATGCGGCTGGGGCTCCAGAAAGATTCCAGGATCCAACCCCAAGATCCTGCCCATGTTGAATCATATGGGATACTGAACGGCCCTCAGGACACAGGCCAATGTCTGCTTCAGTACATCCTGTACAGAAGCAATTCAACTGAACATCGGGACTTGCATGAACAGCTGTAGTATACCACTGTGATTGCGTTCACTGATGTTGCTGGAAGCCACCGCACTTCACTGGATGCATTTAAAATGGCATGCCTAGAGCAATGTTACTGTAGCTGCACGCATCAGTGCACTTAATGTTTTGTCTTATAAGTGTCTGATGCAGTACTGTTCTGTCTTTAAGTGTGTGCAAATAACGTACAATGTCACGGGATTTCACTTGATTTAGCGCAATGAAACAACACATGCTATAACACGTAGAGGTGGCCAGGCGTGTCATCCACCTGAAGTGGAGTCGCCTCAATGACGTCACCCACCCGACGAGGAGCCGCCTCAATGACGTCACCTACCTGACGTGGAGTCGCCTCAATGACGTCACTCCACCTGACGAGGAGCCGCCTCGATGACGTCACCTACCTGACGTGGAGTCGCCTCAAAGACGTCACTCACTTGACGAGGAGCCGCCTCAAGACGTCACCTACCTGACGTGGAGTCGCCTTAATGACGTCACTCACCTGACGTGCAGCCGCCTCAATGACGTCACCCGCCTGACGTGGAGTCGCCTCAATGACGTCACTCACCTGACGATGCAGCCGCCTCAATGACGTCATCCCGCCTGACGCGGAGTCGCCTCCATGACGTCACTCACCTGACGTGCAGCCGGCCCCAGGTAGTAGGTGAAGTAGAGCACGGTGAGCAGCACGCTGACGGCGGCCAGCGGCAGCGCCCGGCGCAGCAGCCGCGGCGCCCAGCAGCGCCGGCAGCACCAGCGCAGCGGCGCCGGCCCGGCCGACGTCAGCGGCGTCCGCTCCGCCATGGCGGCGGCGCTCAGAGTCGGCGCCGGCCGGCGGCGCGCGCGGCGGGCCCGGCCATGACGCGCGGAGGGAGGCGGGGGTGGCCGCGGCGCTCTGGGGACGCGCGGTACCGTCAGGAGTGGCGCGGCCTCGTCCCGGCCACGCTCTGGCGACAGGTGCCAGATCGACAGGGGTGGTCAGTGAGAGATGGGGGCGGTATTGGAGGTGTCATGCCCATGGATGGCTATAAACCTTCCCTTGGCGATAGTGCATGAAGGTAGAAAAGAATCAGATGTCAAAATCAAAAGCCTTTGTAACCTCCCTTTGGTCAAATTCGAATCTACCCTGACAGCTCAGTAAGTAAGAGCACTGCCTGCTGTTTTACCCACTTGTGGCTGGGTGGGTTTGTGTCGCTTCAGGCACTAGTCATTTGCCTTTGACTGACATGGTCTGCAGCCAGTAGCAGTGGGCAAGCTCAAGGTCACGTGACGCCCGACGATACGCTGTCAGGACGGGCTGCGCCCAACAGAGGCAACACGCTTGACATGAGTGCTGGTTTCAGATATCCATTCAATCAAACGAGTCAAAGTTTTTCAGATTCACAGGTGGAGGGACTCAGCAGCAGCCCAAATGGCACAACAGAACAGATGTCAAACACCACCAAAATCTAGAGCAAGGTATTGTGCAGCATACTTCTTACATGGATGCAGAGCACCCATTAAGATATTTTTCCAATGGCAGGTTGAGCTGGTATGGAGATGGACACATGCTGGGTGTGAAGATGGTTTTCACATGTCACCAGGTGAAACCTTTCTCACCGGAATTCTAAGCAGCCACACAGGTTTCTATATTAATTAGGGATGAGGTTCCTGTGAGTATCCACTTTGCCATCCTGGAGTTGCAACTTCACTCTTTTCTTGTCTTTTGCCACTGTCAATCAACTCAAAATTTTGAGCTGCATGAATCAGAAAAGGGCATCTGTGCACATATACAGTAGCACATGCTGTGTGAATGCTGAACCCCGGGATCGCATCCAGAAATTCCAGTTCAATGGGAGAACTTTGTGGCAAACTTGTAATGTGCTTGTCATGGTTTGCTCTGCCCTCTGTTTCTGCTCTGTGGACTCCTGACTGTCCTCAAAGTGAAGGCTTACATTTTCAAAACTCTGCACTTCCTCAATTCGGCTACAGAGTTTGGCTGGGATCGCATGGCAAGAGAGGCCCTGGCAAGTCAGCCTAACACCTATGTGACAATGGTGCGCAGAACATCATCCATTGATACACCAAGTTCAGACCAGGCAAAAGTGAGCTCCATTTCAACATAATGTGTTTTAAAAATGTGGTATAACATTTGTACATGAAATTACATTTGCAACAGCATAATTTCATGAAACATTTGGCTAAGTTATATATTTATATCACACCCCACTTAACAAGATCTAATTTTCCACAATTTGCCTTCTTCAAGGTAAAAACACTCAGTAATCAAAAACACAGGGTATTGCATCATCTTACCTTCAAAAACTAAAAACCATGATCTTACTGCCATGAATAGCCTAAATATGTGTTCTGATTGGTCTGAGCTGTACTATGTCAAGAAAGCAAATGTTTGGGCCTTAATACGGTCTATCCAGCAGATAAGGATGACATTCATCTGCATGGGGTGCAACAATGATGGCCATAGGCTGATCCACATCCCAGCCCTTGTTACATTCAAAAATGTTTTTGTTAGATTAGCTGACATCATTTATCCATCATTTATCTACCATTCCAAACCAAGAAAATAACATTTTATGGTGTGCCATGGACAACCACAGTGAGGATGCGCAGGTTAGGCTGTAGGAGTGAGCATTTTTGTGTTTTTGTTTGTGTTTTTGCAGTATACTAGAAAAATAAAATTATGCTACCAGAATCATAATCAGCAGACTGACATTTTTGGAGTAGGCCATAAGCAGCATGATTTTTTGGCAGATCAGCTGCTGAATTTCCTTTCACACTACACATATCCTGTCTTATTGCTGCAACATCCCTGATGTGGCTACATCTGTCAAACAAAATGAAACAAGACAGATACCAGCTCCAGCAAGATAATCATCCTGAAAGTCAACACACAAATCAGCAATTTCTTTACATGGAGCATGATTCATACCTGATTGAAAGGTGGTTCCCAGCCAGATGTCAACTGAACTTGTTTGCTGTGCTCCGCTAGTTAGATCGTTTCGCAGACCGCTCTCTGAAACCTTTTCACATCCACCCGCTTTATCCTCTGCCTCTATGCATGCATGCCCTAATTAAGCGCTAACTTCTCAGTTCTAGGACTTCGCTAACCGCAACAACGCGGGACAGCAGCAAGCCGCGCGCGTACCTCAACTGGTCAAAGCGAATGTTGTTGGGGCAGCTTTGCCCTCGGACAGCTTGGGACGACGGCGAAGTCGGCCTGTTTTTTTTTTTAGTGGCCTTGACTTACGCTATTCGCCAAGAGCGTAAAGCGGGGTTCCTTAACTAATCCTGCGCAAAACGGGCTCATCCTACATAAGTCCTGCGGCCACTATGGAAGGATGAAGCACGGGAAAACCACGCATATGCAATTTTGCTTTGAGAGGCTAAGCAATACAGAAAATATGGTCAACAAGGGCTGTCATTCAAGATCGCAATGCATTGCATATATGTGTTAGAAAACAAGTAAGCAAAGGCTTGGTTACTTTGGACACTGGGCCGTTACCTTATCCCAGCATTATTGGCACGTGCGACCGGACTAGAAAGAGTCCAATGACCCGTCAGTTCCCGTCAGATTTTCATACCTAATGACGATTTATCACGAAGTCCAGAACAATGCTAGTTGAGGCAGGATTATTGTCGCCTAGCAGCGTTTGGAGTATGTGGGGGCAGGCGGTGCGTTAAGAAGTAGCTCCTGACAGCGACATTCCCGAATAAGATCAGCGCATCCAACCAATACGTGTTCTTCCGTAAGCCGGAAATTTTGAGTGCCGCAGGGCGGTAGTGCAGAGCGACT